TTCCTTTTAAAAAAATATAATACTCTAAACGTATAACAATCCCAACAACACTACCCTGTAAAAAGGGATAAGTAATTGAAAATAGTAGTACAGTTATGTACATTAAATGGTGTCACATTTTACTTAAGAAATAAACGTCAAATCTTAGATATTTAAATTTGTAGGTGACGAGTACTTCAGAACTTTTCAAATGTAAATAAAATGCAAAATAAAAGTACTTTTTAGTTCCACTCTGTGCGTCTGTTCGATCGACTATGTTTGTGGAGACAATATGGCTCTTAATATTATCCCTTATTCAAAACTCTTATTTTTTCAATTTTTATAACGTTTTCCTTTTACACGATAAATTGTAGAAGCTTCAAATCTTAGCAGCTTTCTCTTCTAGTTATCACAAATCGAAATTTAGATTTTTGAAGTATTATATTTCAGAATATCAGAAACTGCAAGCTTTTCCGAATTTCTATAAAAACAAAATGCTAATGGTATGTCGCCTTGTCTTAACTACCGCACTAACCCTTAAATTCGATCATTTTATTAACATTTTTTTAAATTGCTTTTTTTCCTTGTCTCATCCTAATCATATGCAATATTTTAAAATATTTTGAAATATGAAACAAAATATGCATTTAATTTAAATAATGCAGTAGATTCTTTTTAAGCAACATTTCATTTACAAAATACTCTCAAATACTCTTATATGGTAGCTTGGAGTGTTATATTCATGTCAAAGGAACGCAACAAATTCTAACATTTAATTCTAATTTTATTAGCAGGCTGTAACGTATATGTAGAGAGTTAAAGTTAATAATATTCCTTGTATGCACATTAACGCTAATTTCATATTATAAAAAGATTTCAATGATAATGCTGATGATGATGATGACGATGATGTTGATGAACAATAATATCAACTTATTTCATGAATTGTTGCCCAAATATAATAAGAAACTGAAGAAGTTGAAAATTAAAAAATAAGAACAACAAAATAAACTTTTAAAATATTAATGTTCACCCACAAAAGAAATAACTTTACACTAAGTATTAAATTTCAGAAAATATTAAAAATAAATAAAAAAAAGCATGCAGTAATTGAAAGAATTATAATGGTGTTCTTCAAAACTTTTCGTGTACTTAATCTCAATTTTATGAAAGAATACCAAAACGCGAAATTAATAGAAAATTTTAAATTGTTAGAAAATTTATTTGAAAATAGTTTACACAATTGGCATCTGTTAAATCTAAGATTTACTATAGTCTAAATGTTCTACAAATTAAAATTATAATTCTTGCCTGTTGAGATCTGTAACATTCTATAGAGCGCACATTAATGGCGCATATGAACAAAATTTATTAATAATAAATTTTATAAATTTAATAAAAATATTTTCTTTTTTTATACTAAATAATTATGTACGATTTCTAAGGTTGCACAAAACTATTCAAATAATTTGAAAATATTTATTGAAAAGAGTCTGATTAAAAATTTTTAATTATAAAAATAAAATTTATTATTTTGTAAAAAGATGAATGAAAATCGATATGTTCGAGTTTGTCGCAGTATGCAAAAATAAAAAATTAAAAAAAAAAATGATTTTATTTCCTTTTAAAAATTTTTCTAATTAATAATTTAATGTGAATATTACAAACACATTCAAAAATAACACACACACACACTTAATAATTGCAAATATATTGAAAAAGGCAGACTGGCAAATACACTCTTTAAAACCACAATTGGTTACAAATATATTTTTATTTTTTATTTGATTATTTTTTTATTTTCTTGTTTTTGTGGTAATTACAGCTTCAGACTAATGTACCAGCAGAATCAATTACCTCTAACCTAATTTATTGAAAGAAAATAATTTTATGTGCGTATGTATATATATAGATTTTATGCGAATATTAAGTGTAGGTATAGGAAATGAACTTAGTGGCTATGCCATGCTCTTTAAAAAAAAATTTTTCCTTATCAATATTTTATTTTTTTTTTAATTTTCAATAAGATAAATTTGAGATCATCGATTACATTTCTTAAGAATATTGTCAGTATTTATGCCAAAGTTAATAATTTAATTATTGAAGTTTATAATCTAATTGAAAATTATTGTGTTTGTTGATTTGCTTTAAAGTTTTTGAAGAAGTGTTCATATGTAAAGCATCACTATTTCTTAAATTTTAAAACAAAATTAAACTGAAAAATAATTTTAATTTTCCCAATAAAATATTTTTAAAATTTAAAATTAAAAAAAAATAATTCTTGGAAAAAAGAAATTAATTGCATATGTATAGGCGAAATATCTCTATAAAATAAAGTGCAAAAATAAATAAATATAAATTTATCTACCACAGCGACATCTCCGTACAAATAGATTTTTGTGTAATATTTACCATCAAAGATCCAGAGAAGAAAATAATCATTTCCTAAGCTAGATGTCACTGTAACAATATAAAAAAATAGATTAAAAATAGAAAAACTATTAAAATCTCAAATAGCAAGAACTTGCTTTTGAGAAATATTTTATAAATTAAAATCATATAAATTAAAATTAAAATAAAAACTTTAAAATTCAAAAATTTTAATTTTCACTTAAAATATATATAATGAATAATTTTTTAAGAAAAAAAAATTTGTTATTTACTTTATTCATACAATCATAGATTTGTGTTCGAGTCTACAGAAATTTCAATCAGAATTTTGGTTCCTATATCAACGCATTTGAACAGAATTGAAATTTTTTCATTTAAAATTTTAAAATATAAAGAACAACAAGCAACAGTACTAATATTAGTTAAAATTTATTCTTACATTTCAAAAATAAATTTAATTCAAAAACTGATGTCATCCGAAATTAAAACGAGAATATGAAAGAAATTTTACATTATTCTTTAAATCCATTAATTTTTTTTTTCTCTAAATTTAGCATGAAATGTAAATACCAGTGTAAAAACTAAACACGCACTTATGCATTATACTTTAATTCTATATCTTAAATTTTAAACATATTTTTCGTGTCCAACAATTTTACTCCAATAATGTTTCCTTGCTTTTCAAATAAAATTCTTCAAATTTAAAAACAAAAAAAAAAATTAATATTAAAATGTTTTTGCAAATTTTTTTTAATGATAAACTAAATATTTAATTGCTTCCTAATGCAGAGCAAAAAAAATTTACAAACATCCGCTTCAAATTAACAATAGCTACCTAATTATTTAAAATGATTTTTAATTTATTACTATAATCTTCTGAGCTGTCATTTATACACTAATTAAAATACATTACCCAACAATATGGTTTGTTCATCATCACATTTTTTATCCATATATTCCATATATTTAGATTTTAAAATTCTATTATATCATGCAACATGCAATGCAATACATTTCTATTTTCCTGCTCTCCCGATTTGATGGGTATTCGGGAAATTTCCGATTTGAAGGTAAACATTCATGCGCCATTTGAGGCGAGTAGAACAAAAATATAATTTATAATTCATTGTATTATAGGGTATCAGAAGTTGAGTATACTGAACCCCCTCTATTTTACCACAAAATAACCAATTTTTTTAGTAATTTTTTGTTTTAAATTCCTAATTTACAAAGCAGTTAACGGGAAAGTTACGTACATTTGTTTTCCTATTCATATTTTGAATTTTGTTTTTTTTTTTTTATTTAATATCAAATATATTTATAAAGACTAGTGGCAAATAGTTCCTCTCTTTTTCTATTATATTTTTTAAATTTAAATTAATTTTAGTTTAAAGTAAAAAGTATTTTAATTTTTAACATATTTTTTGTTAAATTTGTAATAAATAATAAAAATTTGAACGCTGTAATCTCAGAAATTTATTAAAGAGAATTTGATTAGAAAAATTCGCCCATAAAATTTTAACATAAATAGATTAAAATTCATTCACAATCATTGAGTTTACAATCTTTTTTTTTTTTCAAAAGTGTCGAATATGACAAATTTTCAGAGAAATTTTCAGACAAATTTCAACTAAATTTCAAAACCTCACCATTGCAATTTATAAAAACGAACTCATAGCTTTTGCAATATTATTAAAAAAAATCAAATGTTTTTTGCAACATCAATTATTTTTCAAAACCAAAATATGAGATTTAATAAAATAATAACAAAAATGCTTTTATTTTTAACTTCAACAAATAATTTTCTCTTGTTAGTTTTAAAGCAACTAAAAAAATTGGAAGAAAGTATCATTAATTTAATTTTTCGTTTACAATTCACAATAGTATTCTGAATAATCTTCGCATAAATACACATCGTGAATTATTTATATTTTGACTGAAACAAAATATTGTGACATTTTACACCTTACCTTTAAACAACTCAAATATCCCATAACAAATATTTTAAAATTGTGCAACAATAATGTAATTTCAACACATTAAAGAGATATAAAATATAAAAATAGTTACTTTTAATAGTTAGTAATCATTTTTCAAAATAGTTACATTTTTTAATTTATTACATTTCTTGAAATGTAACCAAAATTTCTTCTACTCGGATTCAACACAGCTTTTCAATGAAAAATTTATAAAATCTTTCCAAAAATATTGACCTGACCCAATTTAAAATTCTCATGATTTCCTACATCACACGCATCTAATATATTTTTACCTAGTAACAATCAAAATTTTGTTAGATTTAATCTCAATTTGCCAACATTCATTAAACAATTGCTTACATTTACGATTTGTTAAAAAAATTATTTTACCAAAATTTTTGCTTTATCTTATGATTATTTTAAAATCATCATCTAGATTATGATTTTTTTTCCTATATATTTTACTCTATTGAAACTCATAATTATTTTTTCATTTACACTTTCTTACAACTTGATGTACAAGTTTTGTTTTATTTTAGTTTCCACTATATGCGTAAATTACTTAATAAAAATAAATAGAAAAATGAAAAACGAAAAATATAGAGTTGAAATTATTGCGATACTTGGTTTATTCTGATTTTAATAGCGAAAATGTGATTATCGCGTTATTTTGTATTAATTTTTTTTTTTTTTTCCATTTTTAATGTTAGTAGCCGAACATTGACGGTTTATAGAATAAATAATAATAATCAAGATGCCGCCGACCACCAGAAATGTGAATCAAACAAAAGAATTAAGTGAAAAACTTTTGGTTTTACAATATTATTATTTGATATTTTTTCAGTTTTCAAAGTTTTCAAGAAATATGAGATTTTACACAAGATATACCGGTTATTTCCATAGTTAAAAACAAAAAATTATTTAAGATAAAAAATGAAAGTGTATAAAAATTGAAGTAACAAATTAAATTTTAAATTTTAATTTTATGAAATGATTTTACATTGTAATTGTAATGATATTTGAGTGTAATTGTTCAATGTACTAGAAATGAAGCTATTTAGTGTTGAATATTTGAGAAAATAAAAATTCAAATATTTTTAATAAATTATTTTTGGTAATTGCAATTCAAATAAAATAACTTAATCTAAGACCAATTATCAAACCACAAAATTAAGATTTGTTAAAGTAATCTTAGTTATAAATTAATTAAGTGTTGTTTAAAAATAGTAATTTTGGAATATATTTTACATAACTGTACTTGTACAATCAATATTAAAATTTTTTTAGATAATTGCTATTCAAATGTTACAAGTATGAAGTGAGGGAATGTTACAAGTATGTGCTTATAAGACTGTTTACAAACATTTATAAATAGAGAGAATACAAAATTTTTTCCTATTAAATTCAATTTTAAAACTAGAAAAAATTCAAACTTAGTGAACGAAATTAGCTTAAATTAAATTAAAATTTTGTAATATAAAAAGTAAGAGCCTTATATTAAATTTTATTTAGCATATAAAAATAATGTGAGTAAACGATACTTATTTTATAGTGAGGGAAACCTTTCTGACTCTTCTGTAACACCCTTGTGTCAGAAATGTGCGAAAAGTTGATATATTTAAAAGTTTTTAACTGATATATATTAAGATAAAATGAGAAACTCCATTGAAAAAATAAGAATTCTCTCAATTCTCTAAGTGTTTTGAAATTTACACTCACTTTGTCCTACTAAATAAATGAGTTACAAATTGAAAGTATAAACAAATAATTCTATTTAATATGTTTGTGCGAAATTCCGCAATTTGTTTCAAAATATGAGATTTATTCAAACATTTTTGCAAAGGATATCATACTGAGTTATTTGTTAAAGTATATTTGCCATTTCTTTTTTAAATTATTAAACATACAATATTGATATTTGTAAATAAAATTTAAATAATAATTAAACAGATAATTGAAAATAAATAAATAATTTTTGAAAAATTTTCATAAGTAAGAAATGGTAATAAATTAAATTAAACTATTAATTAAGTTTGATATTCAGAATAGTTTTAATATATATATATGATTGAGATTTCGAAACACACTAAAGCATAAATTTATTAAAATTAACAATTATATATATACTAAGTCACTAAAATTAATCAAGTTTTTATTGCAATATGAGCGCCCGGATTATGTTCAGTGATTTACGTGATTCACTGCAGTGATTTCAGTATATAACACTGAAATCAAACACTTAGCACAAAATTTTTATAAAAATCTATAATCTAAATAGTTAAATGAACCAAAAATAGTTAAATAAAATTAGACACCAAAATAGTTAAATGAAATTTTTTCAAATAGAATAGTATTTGAGAGTCTGAATTTTATTTGATGAAGTTGACAACTTTTTTGGCATTAATAGAAAATGTCTAATTTAAATTGCTATCCCAAACTACATATGTATGTACTCGTATATTTTAAATTATCTTCGATCGTTTTCGATTTTGTCTTAACTTGCCACCTTATGTGAAAGTTAATTTATTAAAACTTTAATGAGAATCAAATGGAAAAACGACTGAAAATGAAACATCCTACAATTAGAAAAAAAATTAATTGTTAAATTTTATTTTTAAACTAATCAAAACCAATGTTTTTTGATACAAAAATTACTAACGTGAAGTTAAATATGACGTTGCCATAGGCACGGAAAGATTATTAAAAAATTTTAAAAAAAAAAACCTAAAATAAAAATAGCGATTTTTCCAAAAATTCATTTTAGTTTTTTTTTGGATATTATCAATTTAAAATTTTATTGTAATTTACAAATTTAGATTTTTTATTTTTCGAACATCTTATTCAATGAAAATTCGAATTCTTATTTAATATGTCAAAATGATTTTTAATTGCAAATTTTATGTCAAAATAAGATTTCGTAGCTAAACGAAGATTTCGAAACTATTTCTAAAAAATTCTAATACAAATTATTATCTGCCAGATTATTCATTAAAATTGGTGTTAAGTGTAATAAATGCAAGTACTTTATTGCTTTAACTTTTAATACAAACTATTGACAATTCATAAAATCTTTTCAACTTAAAATAAAAAAAACAAAAACAGAACAAGGTAAAATCGCTTGTCTGAAAATCAAATTTTTTTTGACAAATTTTTTAGATAAATAAAAAAATCAACGTTTTGGGTACAAAATTATTTTTTTTTAAACTTAACAACATCTATTTTATGGTAGCAAACTGTTAATGATAAGATAAAATTAAAAATTATTAAAGATAATTTAGAAATCATAAATTGTGACAAGGAAGTGGGAAATTGTACATATCTATGTATGTACGGGTACACAAAATGACGTTAAAAATTCCGAAATTTTAGATTCTCTTAAAAACTTTAACGGGTTTTACATAAAAAGACTTTAGTTGGATTTAAACGGAAAGTTGAAAAAAATTTTAATCAAATTTCAGACACTTTCTTTCACATTATCATTTACATTAAGGCCTAACAGTAATTTACAGTTCAAAGTTTTTGGGATTTACTTGTCTATATTAATTTTTTTTGCAAAATTGTTAAGAGATTAAAAACTTTATTCATATACGCTTTATTCTACTATATTATAACAATTAACCTAGATTTTTTTAAATGACACAGCCAATTAACATACCTTTTTTATATCATTCATTCTCTCTTTATTTGTATAAAAATATAATTACAAATCAAGATCAAAGTTTATAATCTATTTAAAGTAAATTAAACTTAAATATTTCTAAATATGTTCATACATACAACATATGTATACATTTATGTTCATGTATACATGCACGTAAATTGTTCAATTATAATATGTTTGCATATTATCTTAAAAATAAAACTAAACATTCACAATTTAAATTCACAATTTAGAAAAAAAATTACAAAGTTCAATTGTCAGAGGGGTCAAATGAACAACAATTTATAATTTAATCTTTAGTTACAAGATGACATATGTGTGCGTTTATGTGTTTATGTATTAAAATAAGATATTTGAAACTATATTTCAAAAGAATGACTGAAAAATTCAATATGTTGTTGATTTTATCAAGAAAAAATAAAAAACAAAGAGAATAAAAATTTTTAAATTTATTTGATTTTAAAGATTTTAGCATTTGTCAGAGATATGATAAACATTAAGATTATAGATGCAAGATTTTTTCAAATGTAAGGATATGAGTATAAGGTTCTCGATTAATTTTTTTAATAAATAGATTCCCTTCATAACACATGTTAACATCAAAGCGTTATCACTGACAACAATAAAAAAATTTTTGAATTATTTACTCTTAATTTTTAATTCTCATTGGTGATATTCAGACTTCATTACACATTTATTATTTATTCCCTTTTGACATTATTTTCCATATTTATTCATTAAATCTGGAAAAAAATGTCAAAATAATTATCAACATAAAAAATTAAATATGTTTTTTAAAATATTAACAGAAAATATATTTTTAAAAATGCAACAAAATTACAATTTTTCATATCCGTCGCATAAATCGGTACATATTGGACTTTCAATGATTTCAAATGACAATTTGCAAATTTTCAAAATCAAAATTTTCAACAACAAAAAAATAAATAAATTACTGCGTTTAGGAGATGACACAATTAAGATGACTTTGACTGACAAATGTCAATCAAAGTTCAAATAAATTCTAAACTATTTGAAATCAGTCAAAGCATTTAAAAAAAAAATTAACAAAAACTACATATAATCGATTTGCGTTTGTATTTTCTACCTAAAACATGAATTCCATTGAGTACGTGCAGTTAATATAGCAATACTTTCAAAACGTAATTAAAAAATTGCAAACATGTTACTAAATAAAGTCACTTACACTATTCGCTATTTATAAATTCATTTTCATTTATTTCATTACCATTTTAGAAATTTAATCTTTTTCTGGAAGCTTATAATTCATTTCCATATTATGTTGAGAATATACACATCACAATTAATTATAAATATATAATGTATACAGTATTAAATACTTTATTGCATATTATATTTTATTATACAGGTACACGCGTAAAGTGTGGATCTTTCATTTTATTATCCCCACATGTAATTATTTATAATAAAGTTACATAAAGAAACGTGGACCATTGTAATAATTCAACAAAGTATATAATTAAATTTTTTAAAACTGATGTTTGTTTTATTATTACTCATTGTAAATATAAAATAATTTTTACTTCTGTTTTCCATATTGAATAAAATTAAATGTATATAAAGTATGCATACGGTATTAAAAATGTGAATCATTAATTATATTGAAATTAATTTTAACAATTTAAATAATTGCCACTAACAAATTAAAAATAAAATGAAAACAATATGAAAAATCAAAATATCTTGATTCAATTCAAATTACTGAGTTGATCTCTTGCGAATCGTACAATAATTATGAACAATAATTTTTTTCCAAAATAACACAATTGAAGACGTGAGAGGTAAAATCAGATAACAACTAACTTTAAAGTTTTTCAGGAAATACAGAATGCTATATTAAAAATATATTATATTTTTTAAATGTGAGAATTTATTTTGTTAAATTGCTAGTAAATCTAGAAAATATTCGATTCCTTCTGTGGTTTATAATAAATTTTACTATAAAATGATATCGAACGTTTATTCCAGATCGTACAAATTCGTCTTCACAGTGATAACATTACATTACCATCACTTGTTACCATCATTTTGTTAAAGCGAATCATTAAAATTTCCGTCTTTGTTTTTGTATTACTCTTATTAAAAATATAGTCCAAAACAGACAAGGCATAAATATTTGATTATGCAATTACGCACCTTAGGCAATTAAATATTATCTGGTTTTTGCTACAAAACTATTAGGCGGAGTATGAATATACAAGTATGAAATCGCTACATAAGCTGTATTAATGTACATGTGTTATTTGGGTTTGCACAAAACGTTCAGTTTTGTTAATAAACTTTTTAAAGACCAAAAAATTCATTTCAAATATGAAATTATTTAAATATTGTCCTCACATTTTTAATTATTTGACGATAAAACAATTTGAATCTTATAAGTATGTACATACATTGCATATACATATTTGTAT